GATTTTAATTAAAAAAAATTACAAAAATATTATAAATTATTACAATTTTCTTTTTTAAATTAAAAAATTATTAAATTATAACAATTTTCTTTTTTTAATTAAAAAATTATTAAAATAGCCTATTTGCAAATTACGCTGTTGGAATCGGATTGGAATGGGGATAGGAAAAAACGATTTATTCCCTATTTTGACTATATACTCCTTTGATTCATTTTGTTCATGAATTTAGAAAAAAATTTAAAAAAAAAATAAAATATAAATAAAAGATAATTACATTTTATATATTTTTTGCACATCATTTTTCTTTTCTATTTTCAAATTCTACACATAATAAATGAGTGGAATGAAATAGAATGATCATGTTCTTAAACTCTCAGATAGCGTTTGGTTCATTAGAATGAAGTGAAATAGAATAATCATTCTATCAAAATATTTATTTCACTTGGTTAGATTAAAAAATAATAATAACAAATGTATTACAAATAGAATCACATTTCCTATTTAAAGAAATAATCATAATTTCATTCCATTTCCTCTAATTTTAATGAACCAAAGTAGAGTAATGGAATAACCATTCCTTTAGAATAGGAAATGATGATTTAGGGGTGGTTTGAGATTATCTAAATAAGTGTAATTTTTGATTTTTGTGAAATATGGTTGGGTATAGATTGGGTTTGAAGTGATGTGGTAGAGACTGATGTGACTTTAATAAGATATGTGACTTAAATAGAGTAGTGACTTTTTGATTTTTTAGAGTACCCTAAATAAGGCCTTAATTTGTAATATATTTTTGTCATTATGTTTTAGTCAAACATGAGAATGAACATGTTGACAGAATGATAATTTCATTTTGTTTTATTTCAAGTAAACTAAACACTACCTACGGATTGCTTGAGAAGTGACTTTTTTAATGATTTATTTTTGAAGAAAACATGTAAAAAGTATAAAATAAAATAAAAAATTATGATAAATCTTTAGTATTTTGTATATAATGTTTTTAACTTTTTAACTTTCTTAATAATTTTTTTAAATTCAAAATAATTTTGTTACAAAATATTTTCAAACGGGATGTGAGATTAGATATATAATCATTTATTGTAATTCCATTACCATTTACCATTTACTCACAATTAGTTTCACTTCATTGTCATAAAACAATCAAATAGTGTATTCATTCAGAGCATTTTGATTTTAACTTTTCTACATACTAGACACATATGAATACTGACAGGTATGCTTTGAAATCAACCTGTTTTAAATGGAGACAAAGGAAACTGAAGAAATATAGTATATAAAGGTCATTGATATGGATAATTTGGAAATATAAAAAGTGTGATGGAGAAAGTGTTCACACTCAAGAAATCTCAATATTTTATTTGGGAGGTAATTTACAAATAGAAATTATGTACAACAATATATGATCATTTATATTTATTTTATTTTCAAATAAAACATCTATTATTATTATAACACATAATTTTTAAGATTATTTATATCAAGACAAACTCATATATTTTGACTTTTTAATTATAAAATATATACTTTCACCTCTTGCAAATCTACTTCTAAAGTCCTACCTCATATATATTTATTACATCCTTAAGTGTCAAAAATTAGTCTACTTGCTGGGAGAATCTAACTTTTTTAAGTAGTACAATATTATATTTCAAAAATATTTACTTTTCAAAACTATCTTTTGATTTAAAATTAAAATAGTACAATTTTTGTTAGGAATATCAATTGTCATAATTATATTTTTTATGTATATTAATGTTAATAAATTTAAAAGAATGACAAAATAAAAAAAATTCCATGTTATTTTAGTCCTTAATTTTTAAAATTAACTAATATTTTGGACAATAAAAAATAATAATAAATGACTAATATTTTGAGAGAAAGAGTGTACAATTTTTATAATTAAGAGTAAATCTCTCTCTTGGGTGAGTTTTTGAAAAAAAAAGGGATTTTTCATCAATCTACATGTCGGGATACCCCTCAACAAAATGGCATTGCAGAACGAAAAAATAAACATCTACTTGAAGTAGCACGTGCTATAATGTTTTACATGCATGTTCCTAAATATTTATGGGGTGAAGCAATTTTAACAGCTTATATATAATATGTAAGTGGCATATAATGGGTTATAATGATGTTTGTAATATCTCCTATATAAGGAGTGTCATTTGGTCTTGTAAGATAAGAAGTTTTGAATATAACAGAAATATATTCCTTCTTCCTCATAACTGTCTTCTACACCGTTATGACACCCCCATACAGTGTTCTCTACAACGTTCTGACACCACCATACAGTGTCTTCACCATCGGTCTGACACGACCATACAGTGTCTCCTATCCTCTTTTATTTTTATGTATTTTATTATTTTGTTCCTCTCTTCAAACTCAAGTTGGCTAGTTTCTATCCTCCTTGAGTTTGCGGGGGGCTGTTAAAATTTGACTCAGACACAGATCAAATACTTGGGGAACACCACATGTTTATTGCTTACATACAGCGCATGAAGCACATTACAAGTTTGAATAAAATAGCTTAAAATCCAATGATTTAAGAAAAACATAATTTTATACTTAATCTTCTCCATTACTTTATAAATTACTATCTTTGAATTAAATATTCAATTGTTTATTCTTATATATGTCATCTAATAAATGTATAAAACTATATATATTTTGCATATGTACCCCACGTGTAATGTCCTACATTGTTTTAAAAATTTCCGTGTTTGTGTTGTGTGACTCGTGTCAAATATATGTGCCCTCGCTCCTTAAAGAAACAGTCATAATAAATTTTAAACCATGGCACGTACACAAATTGATAAGAAATAAGAGACATTCGGAACATGATTTATTACCTCTAGAAAAGGATTCATTTAATAAAATAAGAACAAGTAAAACATTAGGATTGCTCAACAAGGAATAAGTTATGACCCAACATGGAGTTTGTGACCCCAAACACTTTTATTTGTACCGACTAATATCAAATAGATACTTGTTGGGTCCAAAACAACTAAACATTAAAGATTACAGAATTAAGCTTGGCTTTAGAAATTAGTCTCTAAATAAAAATGCATCAAAATACACATTTATACAAAACCTTGGCCAATTCATTTTTGGTCACCGAAGTGGAGCATGCCTCAAACCTTGCAACAAGGCAAATGACTTGAAGCACACACCAGGCACACTAACATTTCACGATCTTAATCAAACCAATGACTACCAAAGTGGAGAACACATGGGAGAAAGTAGTGGGAAGCACAGACAAAAAACACTGGAAACATGAACCAGTACATTAATTCAGAATTCAATTTTGTTTTGATAAGCAAGCAAAGATCCAACAAACTAAAACACAATTGATTCAATTGAGTAAGGAATACAAGGGGTTCTAAAGGACACCAAAATATGAACATTAGGGATCTATTAAACAAATCTCATAAAAATTATTATTCTGATATAATTAATAAAAAATGAAAAAATTTCACACAAAAAATAGTTTGAATTTAGAAGGATAAAAAAAATAAAAAATTATGAAGACAGAGAAAAACAAAGCTACAAACAGTATTTCCTTTATTGTTCACCTTTAAAACTTAACCAAAGTCACAAAATAATTAAAACAAGACAAATTTTGGTGGTTGCAGTCGTGTATGGAACCTCAAAGCCATCGATTTGACCTCAATGTCGTCTATTAATCACTATTCAATTAGTATGACCAATCATGGAACCTTGCTAGCCTTAAAGAAAGCTTGCCACTGTCCAATGAAAAATCAATGGCACCTCATCATACTAATCAAAGCTCAGAAAAAGCAACAAGTGATCTTCTCATACACTACCAATCAATTTACAGTAAGATACTGATCTTTTTTATTGAATTGGATAGCCATTTCGTAACAAATACCACTCATTTAATGATAACTTGCCATTCATAAGCACTGGATCTTTTAAAGCAGCCATTCATGCCAAGAGCATCCCTTATAACTAATGAGCGTCCATGTATGCCAGACATTTTGGCAAGCTTCTATGAATATTATCAAATTGCTACCAACCCTAGCAATCCACCATCAATGCCAGCAAGCCTCCACAGCTTCAATTTTCTTTTCCTTATCTTCGACTTCAGGAGAGAAATGTTAAAATATAATCTGCCATAGTGTTCATTAAGGAAAGAACCAAATGCATTCAGGTGCCGATCACAAAATGCAACTAAAAACTGTGTAAATATATATAGATATATAGTCTATTACAGTTCTTGTGGACCCAACCTATGGTGTGTGAGACCTGAATTGGAATATTCCAATCTGCGTCTCTTGGCATATTGGTAGGGTTCCTAACATTTGGTGGCATAGAAGGCTCCACGTCTGAGTTTGAGTCACGAAAGGGGCAACTTGGGCCGAGTGTGAGCCATCAAAAGACAAACATTCTGCCAGAGTGAAAGCTACGAAGACAAGAGTGAGAGTCGTTAAGGACAAAAACTACGAAAATGTGGTGATCAATTAAGGTCCTGTGGACCCAAACTGTAGCATGGGACACAGGTCGGACTATTCCGGAATGCAAAACATGCATAAAACTTGATCTCACGCATTCACACGCGTTCCATTAGACCTAGGCATTTTGATCAGGTTCCTATGTATACATACACATGTAACTAAATATTAAACTTGAGCTGCACAAAAATCAAGCAAGCAATTTAGAATGACTATTATATCTCAACATGCAAAGAAAGGAATCATCATAACTACCAACCCTGCCAAAACTTGTGACAAAAACGAAAGTGATTCCACCATAAGACATGCACATTATCAAGGCATAACTTACAAATCAAGAACCATAAAAAATGAAACTTAAGCATAGAAGCAGTAACAAATTTAACATTGATGTAAGAATTTGAGCAACCCAGATCAGCAAATTCATAAACTCATGCACCACAACATTGAAACAAGAAAATTGAAGAAAAAAATAGTTGAAAAATTAGAGAGAAAACATAAAGATCTTACCTTTTTATCTTCAGACAAAGGCAAGAAGGACTGTTTCTTGGCACTAGCAGCGGTGGGTGAGATGGAGCTAAAGTGACGCCGTTTCCGGTCTGGTTCACCTGTGCTACCCATTAGCAAACCTACCAAACCCTAGTCCTGTATCTCCACTAACATTCAAGCACACAACAATTGGTCTCAATCAAACAAAAACCTAGATAATACACTACAGATATAAATATATATATGTGTGTATATATATAATTCTGAAAACCCTAATTCAAGGAAATCGGACTAACGTCTAGTTCGAAACTCAAATTTTTCAGAGATTGAAAGAATCAGAGTATAATTTGCATGAATTATGGTCTGCCTCTCTCTCTCTCTCTCTCTCTCTCTCTCTCTCTCTCCTCCTCTCTCTCTCTCTCCGTCGCCTGTCTCTGTAGCTCACACGAAGTAATCTGATATCTCTCTTGTTTTAGAGGGGAGAGAGAAGATGGGAATTTTAGAAATATTGTGAGGGTAGTTTCGGCATAATATATATGTAACAGTGCAATCACCGTGCACTGGCTGATCGAGGACATCGAAGGTTCATGTTACGTCGTGGACGGGTAGAGCGGTGGCTCAGGCCTCTTTGGCAATTTAGAATTTTAATTAAAAAAAATTACAAAATTATTATAAATTATTACAATTTTCTTTTTTAAATTAAAAAATTATTAAATTATAACAATTTTCTTTTTTTAATTAAAAAATTATTAAAATAGCCTATTTGCAATTGGAATCGGATTGGAATGGGGATAGGAAAAAACGATTTATTCCCTATTTTTGACTATATACTCTCTTTGATTCATTTTGTTCATGAATTTAGAAAGAAATTTAAAAAAAAAAAATAAGTAAAATATAAATAAAAGATAATTACATTTTATATATTTTTTGCACATCATTTTTCTTTCTATTTTCAAATTCTAAACAGTATAAATGAGTTAGAATGAAATAGAATGATCATTTCTTAAACTCTCAGATAGCGTTTGGTTCATTAGAATGAAGTGAAATAGAATAATCATTCTATCAAAATATTTATTTACTTGGTTAGATTAAAAAATAATAATAACAAATGTATTACAAATAGAATCACATTTCGCTATTTTAAAGAAATGAATCATAATTTCATTCCATTTCCTCTAATTTTAATGAACTAAAGAGAGTATATGGAATAACCATTCCTTTAAAATAGGAAATGATGATTTAGGGGTGGTTTGAGATGATCTAAATAAGTGTAATTTTTGACTTTTTGTGAAATATGAGTTGGGTATAGATTGGGTTTGAAGTGATGTGGTAGAGACGTGATGTGACTTAAATAAGATATGTGACTTAAATAGGGTAGTGACTTTTTGACTTTTTTAGAGTACCCTAAATAAGGCCTTAATTTGTAATATATTTTGTCATTATGTTTTAGTCAACCAAACATGAGAATGAACATGTTGACAGAATGATAATTTCACTCTGTTTTATTTCAATAAACTAAACACTACCTACGGATTGCTTGAGAAGTGACTTTTTTAATGATTTTTTGATTTTTTGAAGAAAACATGTAAAAAGTATAAAATAAAATAAAAAATTATGATAAATCTTTAGTATTTTGTATAATGTTTTAACTTTTTAACTTTCTTAATAATTTTTTTAACTAAAATGTTCAATTTTTTTAATAATTTTGTTAACTAAAATGTTCAATTTTCAAACGGGATGTGAGATTAGATATATAATCATTTATTGTAATTCATTACCATTTACCATTTACCATTTACTCACAATTAGTTTCACTATCATTGTCAATAAACAATCAAAATAGTGTATTCATTTCAGAGCATTTTGATTTTAACTTTTCTACATACTAGACACTATGAATACTGACAGGTATGCTTTGAAAATCAACCTGTTTTAAATGGAGACAAAGGAAAACTGAAGAAATATAGTTATATAAAGGTCATTGATATGGATAATTTGGAAATATAAAAAGTGTGATGGAGAAAGTGTTCACCTCAAGAAATCTCAATATTTTATTTGGGAGGTAATTTACAAATAGAAATTATGTACAACAATATATGATCATTTATCATTTATTTTATTTTCAAATAAAACATCTATTATTATTATAACACATAATTTTTATGATTATTTATATCAAGACAAACTCATATATTTTGACTTTTTAATTATAAAAATATATTACTTTCACCTCTTGCAAATCTCTTCTAAGCCACCTCAAATATTTATTACCTTCCGTGTCAAAATGTTAGGGTTGGTTTGGCATAAACTAAATAATACAAAAAAGTCAAAAAGTCACTATCCTATTTAAGTCATATCATCTTATTTAAATCATATCACCTTCCTAACACATCACATGAAACTCAACCCAAACCCAACCTATATAAGCCAATAAGTCAAAAAGTACACTTTTTTAGAACATCTCAAACCAACCCTTAGTCTCTTTTGGGAGAATCTAACTTTTTTAAGTAGTACAAATATTATATTTCAAAAATATTTACTTTTCAAAACTATCTTTTGATTTAAAATTAAAATAGTACAATTTTTGTTAGGAATATCAATTGTCATAATTATATTTTTTTATGTATATTAATGTTAATAAATTTAAAAGAATGACAAAATAAAAAAAATCCATGTTATTTTAGTCCTTAATTTTTGAAAATTAACTAATATTTTGAGACAATAAAAAATATAATAAATGACTAATATTTTGAGAGAAAGAGGTCATATATTGTGTACAATTTTTATAATTAAGGAGTAAACATATACGAGTTTATAAATTAGGAGGTAAAGTAATATATATAAAAATTTACTATAATTAATCATAATTTTAACATTATCACTTATACATCATTCTAATTGAATTCTTATAAATTAAATTTATGCTCATGAAATGGTTTGTCATATTGGTTGTTGGTATGTGAATTGCGTTGCCCCCGGTGGTTGAATCAGCTGGTGCCGTTTTGGCAACTTTCATAAAAAGTCACGTTTTTAATCATTTTTTTTAAAAATGTAAGTGGCCAAAAATGTAAGTGTGAAATTACAAATTAGAATTTATGACCAAAAAAAAAATTCTTATGTTAGGTAAGGATATTTTGGTCATTTTAATTTGATTTGACACCATAAATAAATATTAAACTAAAAAGTAAAAAGCTAACTTTTTACCAACTTTCCAAATCACTTTCCAAAAAATTTAAAAATTTGGTAAAAAATCAAAAGCTAATTTTTTACCAACTTTCTAAAACACTCCTTACAATGTTATTATGCATGTGCATTTCGGGCCCACTGCGGGCATGTTTTCGAGGGCCGGGTCAAGACCTCATCGAAACCACCACCAAATGACACCTATTAAAATGCTATAAGTTATTTTCTATTAAATAAATGACTAATGTCTCATGTAAGTGTGGGGTTTACAAAATTGTGGACCCCACACTCATGTGAAATATTTGTTAATTTATTTGATAAAAAATTTGATATCTCTAACATTATCTTTTTGACATATTCTTTAATATTAAATTTTTTTAATAAATATTTTGAAAGTAATGATTTTTAAAGGAAGATTGACCAATAAGTCTCATATTTTAGACTTATAATTCATATAGTCCCATATTTTTTCTTGTGATAGCCTCCGTTTGGGAAGTGGGCTGCCTTTTTATGTAAGTGTGGGATTTACAAAATTGTGGACCTCACACTCATGTGAAATATTTGTTAATTTATTTGATAAAAAATTTGATATCTCTAAAATTACCTTTTTGACATATTCTTTAATATTAAATTTTTTTAATAAATATTTTGAAAGTAATGATTTTTAAAGGAAGATTGACCAATAAGTCTCATATTTTAGACTTATAATTCATATAGTCCCATATTTTTTCTTGTGATAGCCTCCGTTTGGGAAGTGGGCTGCCTTTTTGGCTTTTTGACTTTTTGCCTATTTTAGCTTGCGCTAAAAAGCTTGGTTTGGGAAGGCCTTTTTGACTTTTTTTAACTTTTTTTGCTTTTTTTTGTATGAGAAGAGTGTAATGATTATAGTTTGGATGTGATGTTTTGTTTTTTGTGGCTAAAATAACCTATTTTGTCTTTTGTGACTAAAATAGCCAAAAAAAACCTGAAAAAGTTCTTCCCAAATAGACTCTAGTCATTTTGGATGTGTAATGACTCACTTGCCTACCACATTGGAGTGTCACATTTGAAAAAAATACACTAAAGAGTTTTTAGTGTCACATCATACCCGTCACGTTAGAGTGATACATTTGATAAAAGTACACTAGTAAAAAGTTTTAATTTTTTTTAGTATATCACATCATATCCGCCACATTGGAGTGTCACATGTTACGTTTGGGAAAAGTACACTAAGAAGTTTTTTTAATTTTTTTTAAGGTGTCACATTATATCCGTCATGCTGTCACGTTTAAAAAAAGTGCACTAAGAAATTTTTATTTTTTTGAAATGTCACATCAAACGCATGATCGTTGTCACATTTAAAAAAAGTACACTAAGGAGTTTTTATTTTTTTAGAGTATTGCATCATACTCGCCTCGTTTTCACGTTTGTAAAAAGTACACTAAAGAGTTTTTAATTTTTTTTTTTGAGCATCATATCATATCCGCCACACATTGTCACGTTTGAGAAAAATACACTAATGAATTTTTATTTTTTTTGAAGTGACACATCATACTCACCACGTTGTCACTTTTGCAAAAAGTGTACTAAAAAGTTTTTATTTTTTTTAGAGTGTCATATCATACACATCATGTTGTCACGTTTGAAAAAAGTATAATAATTTTTTTTTAAATGTCACATCATACCCGCCATGTTGTCACATTTGGAAGAAGTGCACTACGAAGTTATTATTATTTTTTTTTTGAATAAAAGTTTTGGAGTGTCACATCATATCCGCTACGTTATCACATTTAAGAAAAATAGACTAAAAATTTTTTAATTTTTTTGGACTGTCACATCGTTAGAGTATCACATTCATACTTGTCATATTAGAATATCACATCATACCAATCACATTAATAAAAGGGTATAGATGTCCACCAAAACATTACCAGAATAAAAAAAGGACCATACAGAAATAAACTCTCCACTAATAGGACTTAACAAATCATTAAAAAAAATTAAGAACTAATTAAAGTATTTATTTGTGAGATGAAATTTATTAATAAATATCTCTTTTTTAAATTGAAATCAATGACCTCTTTTCTTAATTAGGGCAAGGTGTCATATATTTATTATTTCTTTTGTCTTTTTGATCAGTGCATTAAATCTCTACCAGACCCAAAAACAAAATAAAAGTTTAATATCTTTTATTTAAGAGCTCGTTTGGGAACCCTTCATTTTAGTTAAAAAGTCAAAAAATTTCTAAATTAACCAAAAAATCAATAATTCATACCAAAAAATTAAA